GGTCAGCCCCTTTTTTATTTATCTATATAAATAAAAATGTAATGTTCGTTTGTGGGATTAACATAACTCAAAAACTACTGGACAAATTGACAACAAATTTGGACACAATACGTGTAGGCCAACAAGTGACCAGCACTCATAAAAACACTGAAAAACACATCAGAAAAGACTTTAAAAGCCAAAAAATAAAAAATACATTACAACACATGTGCAAAACCACACATATATATAATGTAATATAATATATTGTATATACACATAACATTTATAATATTATAATGTAATGCAATATAATACTACTAGTAATATTATATTATAATTATATGTTATCTATATAAATAAAAATGTAATGTTAGTTTGTGGGATTAACATAACCCAAAAACCACTGCACGAATTCACACAAAATTTGGACAAAATACACCTATCAGGCCACTGAGTGACCACCACTCAGAAAAACACTGGAAAACACACTGGAAGAGACTTTAAAAGCAAAAAAACCCTCCAAATTACATTACAACGCATGCGCAAAACCATACACACACATACACAGCTGACCTCCAGCTAGAGCACTCAAGGGCCAGGGCTTCCCAGTTCTCAGTGTCTTTGCTGTTCATTCGTTCAGTCGTCTCTGACATTTCGTGACCTCATGGTCCTGCCCACGCCAGAGCTCCCTGTCGGCTGTCACCACCCCCAGCTCCTTCAAGGTCAGTCCAGTCACTTCAAGGATGCCATCCATCCATCTTGCCCTTGGTCGGCCCCTCTTCCTTTTGCCTTCCACTTTCCCCAGCATCATTGTCTTCTCTAGGCTTTCCTGTCTCCTCATGATGTGGCCAAAGGACTTCAACTTTGTCTCTAGTATCCTTCCCTCCAATGAGCAGTCAGGCTTTCTTTCCTGGAGGATGGACTGGTTGGATCTTCTCACAGTCCAAGGCACTTTCAGAACTTTCCTCCAACACCACAGTTCAGAGTTTTTAAGGTTGGCTTTCAGCCCATCTTTCAATCTCTTTTCCTGTCCTCCAACATTCCGCTTTCTGTTCCTGACTTCGGAGTAGAGCAACTGCTTTGGGAGACGGTGGTCGGGCATCCGGACAACGTGGCCAGTCCAGCAGAGTTGATGGCGGAGGACCATTGCTTCAGTGTTGGTGGTCTTTGCTTCTTCCAGCACACTGACATTTGTTCGCTTGTCTTCCCAAGAGATTTGCAGGATTATTCAGAAGCAGCGCTGAGGGAATCGTTCCAGGAGTTGCATGTGACGTCTGTAGATAGTCCATGTCTCGCAGGCGTATAGCAGGGTTGGGAGGACAACCCCGAAAGCTATATCTATCTATCTATCTATCTATCTATCTATCTATCTATCTATCTATGAATGATACACCCAATAATCCAATGCCTATCCCCTTTAATTTGAGGTGCCTACATAAGCTATTCAGTCATGGCTCAGCACGAAGAGTTTCTCTCGACTTGACTCTGCTCTTAACTTTCTTTCACCTTCACAAGTCTGAAAACATGCAAAGGCTTTCAAGGGGCCGACGATGTTTTAACACGTTGCCCTTTTCCTTCTTAATGCAGCCATAATTGGTCACCGGGAATTCTTTTTGTTTTTTACAGGTCACCAGTTCTAACTGTGCGGAAAAGGACAAAGTATCGCAGTGTGTCAGCAGCTCTGCGGGCTTCGAGCAACGTTTCCTCGACGCCCGGGTTTCTCGTTATTCTGAGCATGCGGCAGAAATGGACTCAAGTTAAGCTCAGGAAGCCATTAGAAAGCCATTTGTTAACCCCCCTTTGTACCTCCCACTGGGACACATGTGGGCCAAACAAGACAAGGTTTTAAATTCTCTGTGTTATTGTTTATATGTGAGTTATATTAATTGTACTGTTTTATAAATATAATAATAATAGAGTCAAATAGTAAATGTAATAAAATAATACTAATAACAGAGCAAAAGAATAAATAACCTTGACTCGAGTATAAGCCAAAGGGAGCTTTTCAGCCTAAAAAGGGGGACTGGAAAACTAGGTTTATACTCGAGTATATCTATATATATAAATCTGTAAGGGGCATCCAACGGGACAGCAAAACTCAAAAACCCACCCAACGAAAATTAACCAAAATTCCCATGCACATACCTCAACCCACAAGGTACAAACATATCGAATCAAAATAAAAAACAACACAACAACACACTCACAAAAGGACAAAACAACTGAGCATGCGCAATGGCGCAAAGTCCCCGGCGTGCGCACATGGCCAAACGGCCAATGCACCTTCCGCACCTCCCTTCCCCCTCTGCCGAAGCCCCGCCCACACCCACCGACGCCCCACCCCTGCAATCCTCCTCCTCCTCCCACCCCCCTCCACCGAAGCCCCGCCCCACACACCGACGCCCCACCCCACTCCCCCTCCTCCTCCCACCCCCTCCGCCGAAGCCCCGCCCACACCCACCGACACCCCGCCCATGCACTCCTCCTCCTCCTCCCACCCCCCTCCGCCAAAGCCCCGCCCACACCCACCGACGCCCCGCCCATGCACTCCTCCTCCTCCTCCTCCCACCCCCCTCCGTTGTAGCCCCGCCCCCACCGACGCCCCGCCCCTGCACTCCTCCTCCTCCTCCCACCCCCCTCCGCCGAAGCCCCGCCCACAACCAATGACCCCGCCCCTGCACCTCCTCCTCCTCCCACCCCCCTCTGCCGAAGCCCCACCCACACCCACCGAGGCCCCGCCCCTGCACTCCTCCTCCTCCCCCCCCTCCGTTGAAGCTGCTGGGATTTATAGTTTACCTATAATCAAAGCATTCTGAACTCCACCAACGACGGAATTAAACCAAACGTGGCACACAGGACTCCCAAGACCCAACATAAAGCACGAGAAGGGTTTGGTAAGCAATGGGAAGGAAGAAAGGAAGGAGGGAAGGCAGGAAAGAAAGAGGTAAAGGAAGGAAGAAGAGAAAGTAGAAAGGAAAGAAAAATAAAAGGAAGGAAAGGCAGGAAAGAGGTAAAGAAGGAAGGAGAAAAGGAAATAAAAAATGAAAGAAGGAAGGAAACATGGAGGGAAGAAAGGAGGCAAAGGAAGAAAGGGGGAGGGAATGAAGGAAAGAGAGAAGGATGAAAGAAAGAGGAAGAAAGAGGTAGAAAAGGAAGAAAGGAGAGAAAGGGGGAGAAAAAGGGGGAAGGAATAGGTAGGTACCTCTCTTTCATAATACCCCAGATATCTACCTCTACTTTGAAAAGATTTACTATAGGCCACAGCAACGCGTGGCAGGGTACAGCTAGTATAGTATATATGGAATGGAATGTCCAGGGTGGGAGAAAGAACTCTTGTCTGCTTGAAGAAAGTGTGAGTTTCCTCCCTGGACATTCCACAGATATATAAACCCCACTTGCCTAGACAAGAAACAATCAGGACCAGCTAATCACCTCCCAACAAAGGATTCCCCCAGGCAGTAAGAAGCCAGACCTTGAAAATGCTAGTTCATTAAATGCTAATCAAGGTGGCCAATTGAAATATTCACATCGACCTCAAGCACACAAGAGTTCTTCCTCCCACCTTGGACATCCCAATTTTCCTAGTTTCCAACAGACCTCACAACCTCTGAGGATGCAGGCGAAACGTCAGGAGAGAATGATTCTGGAACATGGCCAGGCAGCTTGGAAAACTCACAGCAACCCAGTGATTCCGGCCACGAAAGCTTTCGACAACACAGTATTGGGTGAGTTTTGATTCTTAAATTTTTGTGCCCCCCCCAAGTGTTCCTTAATATCTGTTCGTATATACAAAACTTAGAAATTAGACATGACGTACGATTTAAGAATGAAGATTTGCACACCCCTACTGACTGCATTGATCTGGATTATATGAGTATACACTGTCATAATTCCAGTTCATCTGCAGTCTGAAGCTGTATTTTATGGCAGAGCAATCCAGAGGAATCCCACTGGAGCATTGCAGCGCACCCAAATACCTGGGAGTCACTCTGGACCGTGGTCTGACCTACAAGAAGCCCTGCCTGAACATCAAGCAAAAAGTGGGAGCTAGAAACAATATCATACTAAAGCTGACTGGCACAACCTGGGGATCACAACCAGACACAGTGAAGACATCTGCCCTTGTGCTATGCTACTCTGCTGCTGAGTATGCATGCCCAGTGTGGAACACATCACACCATGCTAAAACAGTAGATGTAGCTCTTAATGAGACATGCTGCATTATCACGGGGTGTCTGCACCCTACACCACTGGAGAAACTACACTGTTTAGCTGGTATTGCGCCACCAGACATCCGCCAGGAAGTAGCAGTCAATAGTGAAAGGACCAAGGCAGTGACATCTCCAGCTCATCCCCTGTTTGGGTATCAGCCAGCACGTCAACAACTTAAATCACGAAATAGTTTTCTAAGATCTACAGAGACACTCGCTGGAACACCCCAGCAAGCGAGAGTCCAAAAGTGGCAGGCTCAAACCCAGAACCTCAATCAATGGCTGATACCAAATGAGAGACTCCCCCCTGGGCACACAGAAGACTGGGCGACCTGGAATGTGCTGAACAGACTGCGCTCTGGCACCACAAGATGCAGAGCCAATCTTAAGAAATGAGGCCACAAAGTGGAATCCTCGACATGCCAGTGTGGAGAAGAGCAAACCACTGACCACCTGCTGCAATGCAACCTGAGCCCTGCCACATGCACAATGGAGGACCTTCTTGCGGCAACACCAGAGGCACTCCAAGTGGCCAGATACTGGTCAAAGGACATTTAATCAACTACTAAGCTTACAAACTTTGTGTTTTCTCTGTTTGTTTGTTTGTTTGTTTTGTTAAAAATGTAATACAAATGACACGATAAATAAAATATAAATATATGGCAGAGCAGATCCAGCTTTAAGAGATGGGAATTGAGTTTGCCCACTCCCCTGCCTCACATTTAAAATATGCATCACATTTTCAATTCATTTTATAAACAACACAATACACAGAGAGAGGCATGCATAACTGATAATGGAACTTACCATTTTTGTCAGCTCGTCGAAAGATCTAGAATGAAAGAAATACACATGTTTACTATTTGACATTAGCCCATCTAACACAATCCAAAGACTCAATATATTCCATATATGACCATGCAATGAAGTATTGATGTTCTAGTGCAGTGTTTCTCAACTTGGGGGTCGGGATGCCTGGGGATCGTGAGGGGTTGCCAAAGACCATCAGAAAACACAGTATTTTCTGTTGGTCATGGGGGTTCTGTGCGGGAAGTTTGGCCCAATTCTATCATTGATGGGGTTCGGAATGGTATTTATTTATTTATTTATTTACTAGCGGTCCCCTGCCACTTGTTGCTGTGGCCCAGTCTGGTTATTTGGAAAATAAAGTAATTAGAAAGTGCTGGTTTCTAATATATGTAATGTCTTTATACTTGTGGGTAAACAGTACTTCTGGATGTTTTTTTGACACTGTTGACATAGAGATTGTCTGGTTTGCCTACTCTGGAACATGCAACATGTAATTGTCCTTCTTTAGGAGTCCCTTTCAAGTCTATAATACTTTATCTGTGTGTGTGCGAATCATATATATCTATTAGGCCTGTGCGATTTGGTTCGTTAATTCGTTAATTCGTTAATAATTCGTTAATTTTACCATTTCCGAAGCGATATTGAAACAAATCTCCAAACCCGGAAGGGTTTATAAATATCGAACCAGCAGCCCCCATAGTATTTACGAGCCTCCGCTCGTTTCGTTAATGGGGTGGAGGCTGCTGGAGTGCTGGTGCATGGGAGCCAATCCGGCGCTCCCAAGCAGTGCACCATGGGTCCGTGGCTGTCCCTTTTTGATTGGCCGGCGAGCCCTTTCAAAGCGGCTCCGCGCGGCCCGTAGCTTGCTGCAGAGGCGAGGGCGAGGGAGTTTGCATTGGGTTGGCTTGGCAATGGCTGCCTGCTAGCAACGAACTGGGATTGGATTCATTCCTTGCTGCTGTGAGTGCTGCTTGCTTCATTTGCTGTCTCTTGCCTGTGTTTGGTCCACATTTGGGCCATTTTTTGGTTAATTTTCCATTTTAAAATATTTTTAATATTATTTTTAATATTATTTTTAATATTATTTTAATATTATTCTTAAAAATATTCTAAAAAAGAAAAGACTCTTCTGTTGGTGTGTGCTCTCATTTGCTGTATCCTGCCTGTGTTTGGTCATTTTTTGGTTAATTTTCCATTTTAAAATATTTTTTAATATTATTTTAATATTATTTTTTAATATTATTTTTTAATATTATTCTTAAAAAATATTCTAAAAAAGAAAAGACTCTTCTGTTGTGTGTGCTCTCATTTGCTGTATCGTGCCTGTGTTTGGTCCACATTTGGGCCATTTTTTGGTTAATTTTCCATTTTAAAATATTTTTTAATATTATTTTAATATTATTCTTAAGAAATACCAAAAATATTCTAAAAATTCGTTAATATTTACAAAATTTCTTAAATACCAAAACTTTTTTTTGGAAAGTTTTGTAATTATTTTAAATATCGAAACAAAAAAAACACCCCAATTACAAATCGATTTTAGAAACAAATTTTTTCTTGATCAAACAGGCCTAATATTAGGCTTGGGTAACCACGGAAAAATTTGGTTCTAAACTCGTTTTGTTTTTAGGGGGCCCTTGCGTTTCGTTTTTTTTAATAATTCCGAAATTTTCCTTTAAAAAATTTCAAAATATACGAAATTTCGTAATTACGAATCGATTCGTTAATGGCGGACGCGATTGCGCAATATGCTAAAAAAACCTCCAAATGGGACAGGGGGAACTTCTGAAGCTTCCCTCTCCCTCTGTTGTTGGCTGTTGGTGTGATAAACAAACAACAACTATAAAACTTGCACCAGAGATGCGAAAATAATTACGAAATAATTACGAAATAATTACGAAATAATTACGAAATAAATTGAAAAAATTGTTTCGAATCTAATTTACTCCTCACACTATTCCTGCATGGCTCAATATTGGATCGTAAGCTAATTTAAATACGAATTAATAACGAATTACGAAATTAACGAATGAAACCGCCCAAGCCTAATATCTATGGCTTGATAGCTCTCTGTCAGGAGGGCTTTCATTACGTTTTCTTGCCCTGGTGAAGGGAGTTGGACTGGATGGTCTTAAGTATTTTCTGTTGGTCATGGGGGTTCTGTGTGGGAAGTTTGCCCCAGTTCTGTCATTCATGGGGTTCATTAAGAATGGTCTTTGATTGTAGGTGAACTATAAATCCCGGTAACTACAACTCTCAAATGCCAAGGTCTATTTCCCCCAAACTCCATCTGTGTTCATATTTGGGCATATGGAATATTCATGCCAAGTTTGGTCCAGATCCATCATTGTTCGAGTCCACAGTGCTCTCTGGATGTAGGTGAACAACAACTCCCAAACTCAAGGTCAATACCCACGAAACGCTGCTAGTTTTTTCTGTTGGTCATGGGAGGCCTGTGTGGCAAGTTTGATTCAATTCCATCGTTGGTGGAGTTCGGAATGTTCTTTGGTTATAGGTGAACTATAAATCCCAGCAACCACAACTCCCAAATGACAAAATCATAATTTTTTAAGTGATGGTCACTCCTTATGTAGTGAGACGTTTTGTTGCCAAATTTGGTGTGATTTCGCTCATTGGTTCTTTTGTTTTTAAGGAACTCATTATGCACAGAGCATTTTTATATAGATAGATTTTGGACATTTGTATCCCGTCCTGTCTCGACCTCCGCAGAAGGACTTAGAGATCAGGAGAGATGGAGCAGATCTGATTTCGCTTTGGATGGAGTTCCACAGCCGAGGGGCCACCACAGAAAAGGCCCTGTCCCTTGTCCCCACCAAACGTGATTGCAATGATGGGGGGACAACAAGCAGGGCATCCCCAGATGATCTTATGCAATTAACAAAGACAGACAGTACATAGACAAGGGTAAAGGCTTCCCATCTTTTTCCATCTCTGGTATCTGGAGGTTGTGCTCGACTCTAGCCACGGTGTGTGTGTGTATGTGTGCTGTCACTCCATCATCCATGTAGAGATTTCTTGTCTTTAGACGTTCTCCTGATCAAATCACCTGTATGCCGGCATGGACGCCTTTTGTTATCTCCTCGCCAAAGTGGTACCTATTTATCTACTCACATTACTGTTTTCGAACTGCTAGGTGAGCAGAAGCTGGGCTGATGGTTGGAAGGTCACCTCAACCTGGGCTTGAACTGTCAACCTTTCGACTGACAAGATTTTCTGCAGCTGGCAGTTTAACCTGCTGTGCTAAAGCCCAGCCTTGGATATATAGTAAAGGTAAAGGTTTTCCCCTTACATGAAGTCCAGTTGTGTCCAACTCTGGAGTGTGGTGCTCATCTCCATTTCTAAGCCGAAGAGCCGACATTGTCCATAGACACCTCCAAGGTCATGTGGCCGGCATGACTGCATCGAGCGCCCTGACCTTTCTGCAGTAGCGGTACCTATTGATCTACTCACATTTGCATGTTTTCGAATTGCTAGGTTGGCAGAAGCTGGGGCTGACAGCAGAAGCTCATGCTGCTCTCCGGATTCGAACTTGCGACCCTTCAGTGATGATCTTAAGGTCCTAGGTGGATTGTAGTGGGAGATACGTTCGGACAAGTAAACTGGGCCAGAACCATTCAGGGCTTTATAGGCCAAAGTCAGCACGTTGAATTGTGCTCAGAAGCTAATAGGCAGCCAGTGGAGCTGGCATAGCAAGGGCGTCGTGAGCTCCCTATACCCCACTCTGGTGAGCAACCTTGCTGCCGAGTGTTGGACTAGTTGGAGCTTCTGGCAGTCTTCAGAGGCAACCCCACGTAGAGTGCGTTGCAGTAGTCTATTCAGGATGTAACCAGAGGGTGGACCACTCTGGTTGTACTATAAATCACAGCAATGTCAAAGTCTATTTTCCCCAAACTCCGCCATTGCTCACATTTGACCATATTGAGTATTGTGCCAAGTTTGGTCCAGATCCACCATTGTTTGAGTCCACAGTGCTCTGCTGTTTTGCTGTTTTAATTTTGGAGTTTTTAAATACTGGTAGCCAGTATTATGAACAAAATCTGGCTGCCAGTATTAAAAAATACTCTAAAATTACAACAGCAAAACAACAGAGAGAAAACAATCAGGGACATCAAATCACCTCCCAACAAAAGATTGCTCCAGGCACTGCCGGGCTATCAAATGCTAATCAAGGTGGTCAATTGAAACATCCACACCTACCTACCTCCAACAGATAAGAGTCCTTTGTCCCACTACCTCTTGCCATAGATGTGAAGTGGAACGTGACCCCCGATTAGAGAGAGCAACTTATAGTTTTGCTAAGGGCAAGGACACCAGGCAGGATAATAAGGGTTAAGCCTTGGTCAGTTTGGTGTGTACCATTCAATCAAGGCTTTATGCCCTATTTTCATATGTTTATAGCAGAAGGTAACCAATTTATTACTGAAAACATGCCACAAAAGTATTTGAATTTTCCCACCTGAGGCACACCTGGGCCCCTGAGGGTCCCCCATCTCACAAACAAGGGACTCTCTTTCCCCCTCATCGATATTTCCCTTTACGGACCATCCTATGAATAATATGAACTATGGACACATAATATATATTTCATGATTTCCTCGTGGCAAAGGCTTTCCCCTTTTTTATTGACCTTTTATTCCCCTATACTCATGAGGAAATCCCACCAAGGGATTGCAGAGTATAAAAGCCTCGCTTTACGGCTGTCTGGGCAGGGGGTCAAACAATCCCACCAACTGCCACCAATTATAAAGACAGCTATATATATGTGCTACCAACAATAAATCTTGACAGGGGGCAAACAATCCCACCAACTGTCCTTCCTTTATAATAAAGACTTTACACCACTTTATAAAGACTTCACTGGCACCTATATAACTGTTATGAGGGAATGTCTCTCTATTTAAACTTTCGCTGCCACCATACACTAAATGAACAGGAACCCTCTAGCTGGTTAAACTATTAAAAGGCTTTTTAGACCACCAAGTACTGTGTCTTTTAAATGGC